ATCTTTTTCTTTCTCCGCCATGTTTACATTTGGCCTTGTTGATGATGCGCGTGCGATAAAATTACATCACTGATTTGGGTCAATTGAGAGTTTTAGACTGTCAGGTGACGATTTAGGTATTTTAAACATATGACATTTTTTCCCCGACCAGCCCCTTTAACTATGTGGTAATTACATTATTGCCCTAACTATGTGGTAATTACATTATTGCCTTAACTATGTGGTAATCACATCATTGCCTTAACAATGTGTTAATTGGAACTCTCTCCGTCCACTAGCTCTACATTATTGCCCTAACTATGTGTTAATTACATTATTGCCTTAACTATGTGTTAATTACATTATTGCCTTAACTATGTGTTAAGTGGAACTCTTTCTGTCAACTAGCTCTACATCATTGCCTTAATTATGTGTTAATTGGAACTCTTTCTGTCAATCAGCTCTACATTGGAAACAGCCGATAAGCCCAGTTTCTTATCCCTATCTAGGTGTTCATTTAACCTTACCCGCCTACAAGCGACATATCTTAGCCAGGCCAGCATTGTCTGAACAATGGGAACCACCGAAGCTTAACAGGATATTCAAGTTTCAAGTTTTTTTTATTTACCAAATGCAATACAGCAAATAGGTTATACAGTTACATCACACATGGTTCATAATAAAGTGCAATATACAAGATGGCGGAGGATAATTCACGGTTCAAATTTAACACACACGCACATGGTCGCACATATAAAATTGCATTCGGTTTTATGGCTATTGAGGAGTTGATTACTGAAAAAAAGATTGCTTAGTTTGTTTGATCGTTTACCTTAAGATTTCGAGTCCAGGGTTCGAATCTGGAAGTTACATTTTGCCATTCTTTTTAATATATATATATATATAAATACAGTTTTGGTTATTTGAAGAAAACAACTTTTAATCTTAATGCGACTAGAGCATATAATATGGAAAATGCCCAAAACGATCAAATGATAAATCACAAAGACCAGATCGAATGCTACTCATGGCGAATTGCAATGCACTCATACAAAACCTTACATTCTTCTCGCGAATATAAGAAATCAATATTAAAGGGCGCGAGGAGGTTACAATATTTAGATCTAGAGAATACAAGATTATATACCTTAAGTATACGTCTCTGCCAGACTACATAAAACCTATTTATATGGAACTGCTACGCAAATAACAGCATAGGCAGACAACTGCCTGTCCGTTTGGAATAACGGTACCGGACACACGTAAAGCCGTATTGACAAATCTTTGTTTTGTTTACCAGACAGAGCTTCATGTGTTACTCTAATGGAGCCGTAGGGGTTTGGCATTCGTTTGTTACAATGACAAATCTACCACCAGCCGATACTAACAGGACTTTATGTTCTAAGACAGAAATGATCTGCAATATAGCATTCAATTATAAACATAATGTCCATAGGACGTTAATGAAAAGGTATTGTAGAACAGTGCGAATATAGATAATTCGTCAAGATCAGTTTGTGTATGGCAATTCAACTTCGTTATTCGTTTAGATTATCAGATATAATGTCACTATAGTTCCCTTTTCCCATTTACTCAACATGCCGATGTAGACGACGTGTGTTGACAACACACGATTTGTGGTATAAACTATACAAAAGCTAGTCGTTTTATGTAAACCTTGTTCCTATTCCGATGGATTTAACATTTAAATCGAGATTGTTAGAGTTTTATCTGAGAATATCGGAAATTACGTTAGAATGCCAAAGTCATTTAAGAATGTCAAATATTACCAAGATAGATTTAACTGTAAATGTCAACTTCACCAAAAAAACGCCATTTGAATGAAAATATTTACCTCCGAATAAAAAACATCAACCGACAATGCTAACCACACCTAAGGATATCAAATATTTACCTGGGAATTCCAAACCTTACCCGACAATGCTAACCACACCTAAGGATATTAAGTATTTACCTGGGAATTCCAAACCTTACCCGACGATGCTAACCATACCTACGGATATTAAGTATTTACCTGGGAATTCCAAACCTCCCCCGACAATGCTAACAACACCTACGGATGTTAAGTATTTACGTGGTCATTCAAACCCTTCCCCGACAATGCTAGCCATACCTACGGATATTAAGTATTTACCTGGGAATTCCAAACCTTCCCCGACAATGCTAACAACACCTAAGGATATTAAGTATTTACCTGGGAATTCCAAACCTTCCCCGACAATGCTAACCACACCTAAGGATATTAAGTATTTACCTGGGAATTCCAAACCTTACCCGACAATGCTAACCACACCTAAGGATATCAAATATTTACCTGGGAATTCCAAACCTCACCCGACGATGCTAACCATACCTACGGATATTAAGTATTTACCTGGGAGTTCCAAACCTCACCCGACGATGCTAACCATACCTACGGATATTAAGAATTTACGTGGTCATTCCAACCCTTACCCGACAATGCTACCCACACCTACGGATATTAAGAATTTACGTGGTCATTCCAATCCTTACCCGACAATGCTACCCACACCTAAGGATATCAAATATTTACCTGGGAATTCAAAACCTTACCCGAAAATGCTAGCCATACCTACGTATATTAAGTATTTACCTGGGAGTTCCAAACCTCACCCGACAATGCTAACCACACCTACGGATATTAAATTATTTACGTGGGAATTCCAAACCTCACCCGACAATGCTAACAACACCTACGGATATTAAGTATTTACGTGGTCATTCCAAACCTTACCCGATAATGCTAACCACCCCTACGGATATTAAATTATTTACGTGGGCATGCCAAACCTTACCCGACAATGCTAACCACACCTATGGATGTTAAGTATTTACGTGGTCATTTCAAACCTTACCCCACAATGCTAACCACACCTACGGATATTAACTTATTTACGTGGTCATTCCAACCCTTACCCGACAATGCTAACCACACCTACGGCTATTAAATATTTACGGGGTCATTCCAAACCTTACCCGACAATGCTAACCACACCTATGGATGTTAAGTATTTACGTGGTCATTTCAAACCTTCCCCGACAATGCTAACCACACCTACGGATATTAAATATTTACGTGGGAATTCCAAACCTCACCCGACAATGCTAACCACACCTACGGATATTAAATTATTTACGTGGTCATTCCAACCCTTACCCGACAATGCTAACCACACCTACGGATATTAACTTATTTACGTGGTCATTCCAACCCTTACCCGACAATGCTAACCACACCTACGGATATTAAGTATTTACCTGGGAATTCCAAACCTTACCCGACAATGCTTACCATACCTACGGATATAAAGTATTTACCTGGGAATTCCAAACCTTACCCGACAAAGCTAACGACACCTACGGATATTAGATATTTACTTGGGAATTCAAAAATACCTGTATACATCACATATTATCTGTATACATCTGTATAAATTGCATTTTACCTGTATACCTCCTACATTATCTGTATAATTATATACTGTCTGTATACATCACATATTGCCTGTATACATCCTACATTACCTGTATACACTATATATTACCTGTATGCATCATCTATTGCGACACAATATAAATAACCGACAATAAATGAAGTAAAATATTATCCAGGAATGTTACACGCTTTATTATCCATTTTTATAATGCCAAACGTAATGTGAGAATACTCAAACGTAAACGTTACGTAAAACACAAACGGCACATTAAATTGATGCAATATTTTTAATTTGAATGTATAAGGTTGCTAGTATCATTCCTACATTTGCGGTGATTGACGTATTATTGCCCCTCGGATAAATTGACTACGGGGTGGAAGTGGGACGAACAGTGATGTCGTGCATTCCACTGTTTGAGTGGTATCACTTCATCGTCGACACAGCGTGATGTCAATGGTGTTATAATTCAAAGTCAAATTTGAATAAAACATGATTATGTTATAATATCTGCATGTCATTTTCACGCTCAGTATACTCGTCGGCTTGTGGTCATTCACACTCAGTATAATCGGTGGCTAGTGGTAATTCACGCTCAGTATAATCGGTGGCTTGTGGTAATTCACGCTCAGTATAATCGGTGGATAGTGGAAACTTACGCGCAGTATAATCGGTGGCTAGTGGTAGCTCACGCGCAGTATAATCGGTGGCTAGTGGTAATTCACGCTCAGTATAATCGATGGATAGTGGTAACTCACGCGCAGTATAATCGGTGGCTTGTGATCATTCACACTCAGTATAATCGGTGGCTTGTGGTCATTCACACTCAGTAAAATCATTGGCTAGTGGTAATTAACGCTCAGTATAATCGGTGGCTTGTGGTAATTAACGCTCAGTATAATCGGTGGATAGTGGTAACTCACGCGCAGTATAATCGGTGGCTTGTGATCATTCACACTCAGTATAATCGGTGGCTTGTGGTCAGTCACACTCAGTATAATCGGTGGCTAGTGGTAATTCACGCTCAGTATAATCGGTGGCTAGTGGTTATTGACGCTCAGTATAATCGGTGGCTTGTGGTAATTGACGCTCAGTATAATCGGTGGCTAGTGGTAATCCACGCTCAGTATAATCGATGCCTAGTGGTAATTCACGTTCAGTTTAATCGGTGGCTTGTGGTAATTCACGCTCAGTATAATCGGTGGATAGTGGTAATTCACGCTCAGTATAATCGGTGGCTTGTGGTTATTCACACTCAGTATAATCGGTGGCTTGTGGTAATTCACGCTCAGTATAATCGGGGGCTTTTGGTAATTCACGCTCAGTCTAATCGGTGGATAGTGGTAATTCACGCTCAGTATAATCGGTGGATAGTGGTAATTCACGCTCAGTATAATCGGTGGCTAGTGGTAATTCACGCTCAGTATAATCGGTGGCTTGTGGTCATTCACGCGAAGTATAATCGGTGGCTTGTGGTCATTCACACTCAGTATAATCGGTGGCTTGTGGTCATTCACACTCAGTAAAATCATTGGCTAGTGGTAATTAACGCTCAGTATAATCGGTGGCTTGTGGTAATTCACGCTCAGTGTAATCGGTGGCTTGTGGTAATTCACGCTCAGTATAATCGGTGGATAGTGGTAATTCACGCTCAGTATAATCAGTGGCTTGTGGTAATTCACGCTCAGTGTAATCGGTGGCTTGTGGTAATTCACGCTCAGTATAATCAGTGACTAGTGGTAATTCACGCTCAATATAATCGGTGGCTAGTGGTAATTCACGCTCAGTATAATCGGTGGCTTGTGGTAATTCACGCTCAGTATAATCGCTGGCTTTTGGTAATTCACGCTCAGTATAATCGGTGGCTAGTGATAATTCACGCTCAGTATAATCGGTGGATAGTGGTAATTCACGCTCAGTATAATCGCTGGCTTGTGGTAATTCACGCTCAGTATAATCGGTGGCTTGTGGTAATTCACGCTCAGAATTATCGGTGGCTAGTAGTAATTCACGCTCAGTATAATCAGTGGATAGTGGTAATTCATGCTCAGTATAAACGGTGCCTAGTGGTAATTCACGCTCAGTATAATCGGTGCCTAGTGGTAATTCACGCTCAGTATAATCGGTGGCTAGTGGTAATTCACACTCAGTTTAATCGGTGGCTTGTGGTAATTCACACTCAGTTTAATCGGTGGCTAGTGGTAATTCACGCTCAGTGTAATCGGTGGCTAGTGGTAATTCACACTCAGTTTAATCGGTGGCTAGTGGTAATTCACACTCAGTTTAATCGATGGCTTGTGGTAATTCACGCCCAGTATAATCGATGGCTAGTGGTAATTCACGCTCAGTATAATCGGTGGCTTGTGGTAATTCACGCTCAGAATTCTCGGTGGCTAGTAGTAATTCACGCTCAGTGTAATCGGTGGATAGTGGTAATTCACGCTCAGTATAATCGGTGGCTTTTGGTAATTCACGCTCAGTATAATCGGTGGCTAGTGGTAATTCACACTCAGTTTAATCGGTGGCTAGTGGTAATTGAAGCTCAGTTTAATCGGTGGCTTGTGGTAATTCACGCCCAGTATAATCGATGGCTAGTGGTAATTCACGCTCAGTATAATCGGTGGATATTGGTAATTCACGCTCAGTATAATCGGTGGCTAGTGGTAATTCACGCCCAGTATAATTGGTGGCGAGTGGTAATTCACGCTCAGTGTAATCGGTGGCTAGTGGTGTTTCACGCTCAGTATAATCGGTGGCTAGTGGTAATTCACGCTCAGTATAATCGGTGGCTTTTGGTAATTCACGCTCAGTATAATCGGTGGCTTGTGGTAATTCACGCTGGAAAGGAGATACGTATTGCATAATTAAATTACTTCAAAGTTCTTTGGCCTACGTTACAACACGGATAGATGTTGATTCACTTTTTCGAGGCATTCTCTCGGTTGATGTTTAATTTCCCACGGGTGAATGGTAAATTTATAATCAATGGTAGGATAATCGCGAGCGTATTTTTCTCATTCTACGACACACCTACAATACAAAAATATATTCATGAATTATGGAAAATACTGCGTACCGAATAACAAAACAGTATGCTATGATAATTGTTCCACGTTGTCTAGAAGTGAAACGTATTTAATGTTATCGGAGATACCTGGTAATATACACAATACACCTCTTCATGCTAACCTTTCACTTAATCAACAAATCAAAACGAGGGACCTTGTAATAAATAATAATAATATACAACATTTATATAGCGTCCTATATAATTTGTAAAATTACTCTAAAGCGCTTTACAACATATGGATAATAGTAATGGTTATGATTGTGAAAACAAACAACAAAGGCTTGTTGCAATCACTGCTTGTGCACATAATTGAACAAATAAAAGGGTAGTATTTACATGATGTCTTTGCAAAGATTCTAAAATGCAGACGTGAAGAGGTGAGTTTTTATGTCCCTCTTGAACTTGGTCAGGGTATTTGACTTCCTAATAGCAGATGGTAAGCTATTCCACAACGTAGCCGAAACCCTCCCAAAGCATCTGTTTCCGTAGGTCACAGTACGAGATTTTGGGACACACAACAAAGATTCTGACTCCGACCGCAGTGATCTTGACGGCTGATACAGGATAACAAGTTCCTGTAGGTACTGAGGAGCTGTTTCATCCAGTGCCTTGTATGTGTACACCAGAATTTTGTACTGCGACCTGTATCGTACAGGTAACCAGTGCAATGTATAAAGCACAGGTGTGATGTGCTCTCTGTTTCGAGTACGAGTAACTAGCCGTGCTGCAGTGTTCTGGACCCTCTGCAGACAACTAGTTAATGTGTCAGATATACCACAGAGCAGGGCGTAACCTTAATCCAACCGAGAGGTAACAAGTGAATGCACCAAAATCTTGCATGCATCTGCAGTTATAAACTGCCGGATACAGCCGATGTTCCTGATCTGGTAGTAACATGATTTGTCAATAGCGTTCACTTGTTTCTCCATAATCAGTGAACTACCAAAGTATACCCCTAGGTTTTTAACTGCTGGAACAGTCTCACTAGTTCTGGCACCAACCTTGAGCTGGAGAGCCATTGTTTGCTGACACTTTGGAGGGGAGAAGATTAGTTCCGTCTTTTCCTGATTAAGCTTAAGCATGTTGGCGTTCATCCAGATACTGATATCTGTCAGACAAGCTTCCAGACTTTCTGAGAATGTATTACAACTGTCCTGTTGTTTGATGACCATGTAATTGTGTGTGTCATCGGCATAGCAATGATAGCGAAGGCTATGTCGACGACAAATCTCTCCAATTGGTTTGGAGTACATACAATATTTTCGTGATCCTAACACCGACCCTTGAGGAACCCCGAAATCTAGTACTTTTCCATGTGATGTGGAAGATCCGATGGCAACACACTGTCGTCGTCCGCTCAGATATGACTGTATCCAGCATAGTGCGGTATCAGTCACTCCATACGAGTATTCCAGACGTATAAAGTATGCCATGGTCGATGACGTCAAATGTAGTTGATAAGTCCAGCATAGCAAGCTATATGTGCTATATATGACCATGTTGTCGACACAATGTTCCAGTGAATTCAATAAACATTTAAGTACTGTTAATGGAAATTTAAGTGTGGATTAATGGCTCCATGGCATCGTGTGGGGTAGCGTTCTCGTTTAATATTGGTTCAGGATTATAGGTATCTAATGCCGACCTAGCTAGTAGGCTACGGAAGTGCACTAAAAAGTAACACGATGCCACATTTCCTTTTATCAAGTGGATATATATGCCTCATATGTTAATGTGTAAAAGAAGTTTCCTTCATAATAATGTAATGGTCAATCACGCAGAGTCTAATCAATATGTTTACCATTACGATTTCCATTGTACGCTTAACACTATGTATACATGTACCATTGGCGAGAAGGCAAAATTAGATAGCAGAAATTATACAAAACAAGATACAAGAAACAGGAAACATTATTTAACGGCGCATACAGGTAAACAAGGAACATTAGCTCTTGAGAGCTATTATTGCCACTATTAAATTATGATAATCATTAAAAATATGAAGAAACGAAACACCACTTTTACAACTGTTTGATTGGGCACAAGAACCAGACACAGTGAACATTTTACTGCATCATGAGGTTATTTCGACCCACGTCTCTCTCAGCGTAGGTAACGACCCACGTCTCTCTCAGCGTAGGTAACGACCCACGTCTCTCTCAGCGTAGGTAACGACGTACGTCTCTCTCAGCGTAGGTAACGACCTACGTCTCTCTCAGCGTAGGTAACGACCTTAGCCTCTCTCAGCGTAGGTAACGACCCACGTCTCTCTCAGCGTAGGTAACGACCCACGTCTCTCTCAGCGTAGGTAACGAAGCGGTAGTGATCGGTCTGATTTTAATTATATCGCCCATTATCACTCATCAGTCGTTCTAAAGGTAAATTAAATACCTAAACGTCAATGAATAAAACGCATAGTGTATCTTACAAAGTATAGCTTTATTCAAATAGTTTAACTCGGCTAGCTATTTCATCACAATCCATTAACATATTTCGAGGAAGCGATTTTTAGAAAAACTTAAAACTTAAAATAAAATAATAAACGTTCATACAGCTTCTGGTATATAAACGGAATCATATCTTGATCACAATGTCTGTCAGGATATACAGATGTCGAGTGGGAGGCAGCGATGTCTCCGTTTACTAATATATATTAAATAGAACCAAAATGTACACTGTGAGACAACCAAATAACATTATGTCATGTATACTTTGTTTACACGAATTACTCAATTCAACTGATAATGGGTAACTTTTCAACCTTCACTAAACACAAACCCTTAACAACAGTGCAGTACAACAACACATCAGTTAGAAATTAGTGCCTTTCTTATATAAAAAGGGGCTAAAATTAAAACCATATTTCAAATTCAAATCGATGAAACTATTGTATTTTACAAATAACAAAATGATTGATACGAAGACCCTCGGAACGGGCAGGGAAATTAGAGATTAAGGGGCAGGGGCAATTAGAGATTAACGGACAGGGAAATTACAGATTAACAGACAGGGAAATTACAGATTAACGGGCAGGGAAATTACAGATTAACGGGCAGGGGGAATTAGAGATTAACGGGCAGGGGAAATTAGAGATTAACGTGCAGGGAAATTAGAGATTAACGGGCAGGGAAATTAGAGATTAACGGGCAGGGGAAATTAGAGATTAACGGGCAGGTGAAATTAGAGATTAACGGGCAGGGGGAATAAGAGATTAACGGGCAGGGAAATTACAGATTAACGGGCAGGGGGAATTAGAGATTAACGGGCAGGGAAATTAGAGATTAACGGGCAGAGGGAATTAGAGATTAACGGGCAGGGGAAATTAGAGATTAACGGGCAGGGGAAATTAGAGATTAACGTGCAGGGAAATTAGAGATTAACGGGCAGGGAAATTAGAGATTAACGGACAGGGAAATTAGAGATTAACGGGCAGGGGAAATTAGAGATCAACGGGCAGGTGAAATTAGAGATTAACGGGCAGGGGGAATAAGAGATTAACGGGCAGGGAAATTAGAGATTAACAGACAGGGGAAATTAGAGATTAATGGGCAGAGATATTTGAGATTAACGGGCAGGGGGAATAAGAGATTAACGGGCAGGGGAAATAAGAGATTAACGGGCAGGCGGAATTAGAGATTAATGGGCAGGGGGAATAAGAGATTAACGGGCAAGAGAATTTGAGATTAACGGGCAGGGAAATTAGAGATTAACAGACAGGGGAAATTAGAGATTAATGGGCAGGGAAATTTGAGATTAACGGGAAGGGAAATTAGAGATTAACGGGCAGGGGGAATAAGAGATTAACGGGCAGGGGAAATTAGAGATTAACGGGCAGGCGGAATTAGAGATTAACGGGCAGGGTGAATAAGAGATTAACGTGCAAGAGAATTTGAGATTAACGGGCAAGAGAATTTGAGATTAACGGGCAGGGACATTAGAGATTAATGGGCAGGGGAAATTAGAGATTAACAGACAGGGGAAATTAGAGATTAATGGGCAGGGAAATTTGAGATTCACGGGCAGGGAAATTAGAGACTAACGGGCAGCGGGAATAAGAGATTAATGGGCAGGGAAATTAGAGATTAACGGGCAGGGAAAATTAGAGATTAACGGGCAGGGGGAATTAGAGATTAACGTGCAGGGGAAATTAGAGAGCAACGGGAAAGGGAAATTAGAGATTAACGGGCAGGGGGAATTAGAGATTAACGGGCAGGAGAAATTAGAGATTAACGGGCAGGGGAAATAAGATCAGGTGTAACGGAAGGGTAAGCGTCGTTTGCCTAAAAATCAGATATGTTTTTACGAAATGCATTTTTTTAAATTTTGTTCAAAAGTATTTATAAACACAGTATACAGCGTATATTTCCAGATACTCCTGTTTATAAAGCAACCTTTTGTGTACGAAACTGATAAAAACAATCTTCAAGGCCATGTTTGCCATAATTTATGGTAAGAATTTTCTAGAGGATTGTGAAACTTCTGCCGATCGAAATAAAAGTAAAACATTTCCATGTTTAATTTCAACAATAGTTTCTTTATTTTAGGTGTGTCTGTCAGGTAAGAACAGCAATCAAAATCTATCAACAAAAATGACGGCCAGCATATGTCACGTAATTTTTTTCTGAAATGATAATTTTATCATAGCCAACCCTATAAGTTAGCACTTCTACTGAGTAACTTTTA